GAGCCATGGATCGCTATGATATGTTTTCACCGAGGGCAGTTTAAATCGTGTGGAATTTTGATGGATGAAAGGAATGTGTTTCACCAGGGGCCAGACTCAGGCAGACAGAGCGGAGCTGCTCGGCTCTCACAAATCAACAGCTACCATCACAGGGATAAGACCAGCTCTCTGAAATGATGTGGAACCGAAGGCTTTAGAAACGCCAACTGGCAATACAAATATTTATCTGCTAAACTTTTTTTTTTTTTTTTTTTTTTTTTGAAAATCAGTGATGTTGTAATATAGGTAGCCACACAAGCAAAGAAAAGTAAGAATGATTACAATTCCAGTCACACTGTCTGTCCTTATGGGTATAGACGTGTCAGTCATTGGGTTTGGCCATATCAGTATTTTTTATATCAAATATATCCTCTAAAATACATCATTTCAATGATAGATTTTTATTTATTTATTTTACAGTTTCAATGTAGGGATGTCCGATAATATCGGCTGACTGATAAGAATTGTTAAGAACTGTTATCGGTATTTCCTCCGATAATGAAGACCCGATAACGCGATGCCTTGGTTCTGCCAAATATGCTGGGATCACTGAGACGTTCACCTCAGTTTTGGGGGCAAACGGCTACATATATCGGTTTGGTTTATATTGGTACGATACTGACATGTCGGATATATTGGCTGAAAAGTCAATTGTTTTTCCTCCTTTAATTGCTACAAAATGATAGCGACAGATGTGTTGTTCCGTCACTCAAAAAGACTGCGATACTTTGCCTGGTGATTGATGGCAATTCGCAATTTGTGAGCTTTGTCGGGCCTAACGTTTGATGTATCTAATTCAGCATGTTTTACTTACACCTACTTATGTCTGCATCAGTCTAATCCAACATGAGCAAAACTCTTAGACGTGATTTTTATTCACCATTTGTTTTTCAATATAACCAGGCTTGTCTTCTTTTAATGACAAAGACAAGAGTGCCCCAGAGACCGAGGTAAATAGCGTCATTATGCACAGTCCTCACCTGAGCTGTAAATTAAAAGGAGCTCGAGGCAAAATAGTCCTGGAACTTCCCTTGAACAGGATGTACTACAGGGTGTTTTTTAAGGTTCTACTTGAGTCCAGACTTTGTTCCACAGCCAGGCCACATGACAGGTCCATCCTCACTGGGTGGGTCTGTAAAACCCGGTTCTTAATTACGTTTTAAATGTAAGTGATTTTTAAATATAGAGTTGAAGTGTAATTGAAAAGTAATAGGGCTAAACAATGGATGAAGAAAAGGTGAATTGACTCGCATAAAAGGCTATACATTGCTAATTGCAGCACTTGAGTTGACTAATAGTACTGGAAACTCTTGCTGTCTTGTCTGCTGTTTTGTTTTTCTATATGGTCCACGGTCCAAAAAAACTCATTTGTCTTTATTGTGTCGACAGATGGACTATAAATTAGTCTGAACTGTGGCTCCTTTATTAGCCTTCGTCCCTGCAGCTCTTAGCAGTCTGTCAAAATCCATTTACTGCCAATGCAGAACCTGTGTTACAGTAAATAAGTGTGATTCAAAAACACCCAGAAGCCGCCTCGTGGCTTTGGTGCTCAGTTCATCTCTTTCAAATGTTGATTCCTGTAGCGGTGGTCTGAGCTTTACAATTCATAAAGTCTGCCACCGGAGTCAGAGACAATGATTAAGGACGGCACACCCACGCAATCAAAGGGTTAAAGGCCCGCTGATGAAGGATTACGGTAATTTTTAATCTAGACGTGTTGTTTTTTTAATTCGCTTTGACTGCTCTGCCTTGATGGCTGTGATTAATACGACCAGGAAATGTTTGTGAGCAAGACATATACTGCGATTCATCTGCAAAATAATCCAATCATTACCAACTAATGACAGGAAGGGGGTTGAAAAATGACGCTGGAGCGCCGCGGCTCCCCAACATGCATCAGGGCCCCACAGACGTAGAGCCTGTGAGGCCCCACCTGTCACAGCCGTGCAGTAATTGCATTGTGGGCTCACCATCCCCTCTCTCTCTCTCTCTCTCTCTCTCTCTCTCTCTCACTCACTCTCTCCTTCTCTCTCTCCTTCCTTTCCCCATGCACTGGCGTTCAGCTGTGCAGACAAAGCTCATCTTAATGAAGCTGTCTGACGAGGTGGCAATTACAGACTGCTGTTACTGTCACCAGGGGCAACCAGGCAGGAGAAGGAGGAGGAGGAGAAGGAGGAAGAGCTCTCACCCCCCGAGGGCTTCTCCTCACCCGCTGTGCTCCTCTGGATTGCACCGTGGCTAAGCTGCTGTCAAAGACGGCACAAGAGCTGCATGGTAGGTACAGTATGAGCGACGTGGTGATTGAATAAAGACGTCTCCAGGAAAATGGATGACCTGATGACACTTCAACACAGAAAGAAATAAAGAAGTGTCTTTCTGTGGAGTAACACGAATTATCTGACTGGATATAAGTTGTTTTGATATTGTTCTTGAAGTTGGTCGGATTATTTCACCTTTCACCTGAGTTCACCTTTGACTGTAACACGTGAGTTCACCCTTGACACAGATGATAGTTTAACAGACTTTATTGCACTAGTCCCAAAGCGCCCCTGGGCCATGCCTGTCTTTCCCGTTGAGGTATCGTGGGTTTGTTTCTCTGTCCGCCCTCTCTCCTCGGTCCCGGCTCCTACTGATATCGGGAGAGGCTTGATTACTCGATTTACACTCACCTGCGTGCGGGGCTGCACTTGCGTCGCCACTCCTGTGCTCTCCCTGCAGCTGAGCGCTAACCTCTGCAGCGCCCCCACACCCTTGTGGGTCATAAGAGGTTTTTTTTTTGGGTCGTCTCGCATCATGTTTCCCAGGAGTTTATAAATAATGTCTATTGACGCGATTGTCGCGAAGGTTTGTGACTTTTAAAATATGGGTCCCCAGAAGAAAACTTTGGGAAACACTGGTCCAGATTTTGCAAACATACCATCCCAGAATAATTAAATTATTAGAATTAGATGTTATATATTCGTATGTTTTCCTGTTTGTTTGTTTGGTTTTTACCTGTCCCAACAAAACGTATAAAGATGAGAGGTCAATGCTAATGTGGCAGGTTCTAAGAAAATATACAACAGAGTATATGGTATTGAGTCTGACAGTATCATATATATGTATACATATACTGTGGGCAAAAAAGACAGGATTACACAAGCAGATGAATTGAGAAATGTAAATAAAATATAAAATAATTATAAAATAATTACACCGTTTCATTAACATGTCGTCGCATTATTGTTAGCCTAATTATTCCGTTTTTCCACGGCAGAAACCTAATCATCTGTTAGCTCTTAGCATTTAGCTGGTTGAACTATAAAAGCCTCAATCACTTTATTTCCGCGCAGCACGTACAGTGTACACCACTACATTAACCACGTGAAGTGTGTGTACTTAAACACGAACACGTGTGTCCCCTGACATTATCTACACAACAGGATCTGAAATGTAATTGAATCAGAATTTTCGTGTTCGGCTCCACTGTTTTGACATCTGCAACGAAGCATGAAACTTTTCGCCGTGTTTGCAACGCTACACGCGCAACCACACACACACAGGCACGCACGCACACACCCGTACTCCTGCACACATTTCCTCCCACTGAAGCACAGGTGTGCCCCAGTGCCTACATGTGTTGCCATGGTTACATCATGCCCATTTGTCCTATATAATTACATGGGAAAGCGTGACATGCTTCTTCAATAAAACACAGTAAATATGTATCTGGCTTCTCTCCACCTATCACTCACACACACTTTCACTGATGAAGACGTGGCTTTAGATCATCTGTTCAACAAACTTAGGCTCAGATCATGATAAACTCAAATGAGATGAAATGTTCAAATACCAGGGGCAAGAACAGAGGTATTAAACTTGGATAGCTGAGCTGTCAGTTCATCCAAAAGTCATGATTAAACTATTATTAAACCAGATTTTGGATCTTTTTTTTTATTATTATTTTTACCTCGGGAAATTATTAGTGCCACCAAAAGGGGGCAAAAGAGAGCAATAACTCTCCTAATTCTGCCTCACCTATCAGTTAATTTCACTTGTGACATGGAAATAGACGGAAGATGTCTTTTTTACTCCTTTACCACTTACCACATTTGTTGGGTCAACAGTAGAGGTGGCTCGATAAAACTTTTTCATGTCCGATACGGCAACTTGCAGTATCTGCCGATACCGATATCGATCTCATACCTAGTTCTCTGGGCTGCTGTTGCTGAGGCAACGGTGTCCATGTTTACCGCATGTCTCGCTAAGTTAAGTTGAAGATGGGCTTAGTCGTGGGATCAGATGGGCTATCTCTGTTTTGTTCGATCCTGAAAGTTTGACCACCATTGGTCAATGCCAATCCTGAGTATCAGATCGAGCAATTCTTAGCTAGGATCAACAGCTGAGGTCCACGAATGAAACGAGTCAGAAGTTACCCCAGTTCACCGATGATGCGCCACCAGAGCAGGTTGGAGCTGAGGACACAGATAATAATGAAGCAGAAATAATTGATAAAAGCCTGTGGGCCATTTTACACAAACACATATTAAAAAAACATTAAGGCCATTTTTTTCCCAGTTTATATTCACTCATTATCTACAGCTTATTCCCTTTCGGGGTCACAGAGGGTGCTGGAGTCAATTCCAATTCTACGGGCAAGGACAGGGTGACAGTTCACCAGTTCACAACTATTCACACTGACATTCACACCTATGCACACCAACCTACTCCCCACTAACTCCATACAGAAGGATTAACCAGGAATGGAAACTTGCGGGCCAACCGGGGATCGCACACCTATGCACACCAACCTACTCCCCTAAGCATGTTTTTGGTCTGTGAGAGGACGTTGGAGTTCCCAGAGAGAACCCCCCCCACGCACACGGGAGGACTAACTCCATACAGAAGGATTATCCAGGAATGGAAACTTGCGGGCCAACCGGGGATCGAACTTGCGCACCAGTGATCTTCTTGCTGTAGAGGCAAGCGTTCGAATGCTTACGAATTTGAGTGTCATCCTAGCGCAAGGGCCATGCTAATCATCTCTGTATCATTTGCAATTTTGTTGTGCGTACTGTCAACACAGCATTTATATTCAGCTATACAAATGACCAGACGTGCCCCTTGTTTTGAAAGTGTCTTTTTCCACAGGCCACAGGCCGTGTCCCAAAGTTACTCTTACTGTAATTGATCGAGAGAGTCCTCAAGATGTCATCCAAACCTTTAGTACCTACATGCGCATGTCATTAGAGTTATTTGGAGTTTCAGATCCACTTGAAAGAAGAAAAAAAAACATCTTAACCTAAACAAGATTAAATATTAAGCTCCAGACATGTGGCAGTTAATCTGCCGTCCCTGATTTCACTATAAACTTGGAATACTTTCAAGACTTTTCTAACAGAAACCTTGTCTGTTCTATCACCATGTTGTGGATTTAGCATTCATAGCTGTCCACTGTAGTGTGCCATCAACTGTTGGTCCCAGGAACTACGATTCTTGCTCAGTATAGATAGATAGATAGATAGATGGATAGATATACGTAGATAGATTTTAGGTATGAAGAATATATGCAAAAATAACTAAAAAAAATAGAAAATATTTAACAGTTCAGCTGAGGTATCAGACCTGGTCAGACCTGGTGAACTGTTATTTAAACTGTGACTTGTTTAGAAGACTCATTAGTCTTAATGAATTTAAGTTAATCCGGTGGCAAATCTCAGCTGCAGTACCAACCTGTACACCGGCCAATCGTCACATCGCTCCGACACAGAGACACCACTGTGTGAATCAGCGTGACCTTGAATGCGGACATTGGTAGTTATTCAGTAACGAGTCTGCAATTAAATTCAGGAGACGCAGAGGGCAGCGAGAGTTCAGGCCGTAACTGAGTTTGTGACATGGTGCGTCGTCGTGCAACTTCTGTCCCTAAGTAAAGAATGTCACAGCTTCCAAACAACCTAATCGCCAACCATTTAGCCTAAGAGTCGTAGATAGCGCTGAGTATGGAGTACAAAAAGCTACAAATTAGCCTTAGCGTTATAAAGCTTAAAAAGGTTATCACTATTATAATTACTGACCTACTTATTATACTATCTACAAAACTAGCTTAGCCAATAGATAAGAGTAAGAAAAGTTTGAAAAACATATGGGATGAGAATGAGAATGAGAATGAGAATTCGCTCATTTGGTTTCAACACAACACAAGTAAGCTCTTCGCTCATTTGGTTTCAACACAACACACAAAGTAAGCTTAGATTTAGCCGCTGCGCTAAACGATAGCAACGGAAGCTTGAGAGAGATATAGAAATGTATATTGGCTAACACAACATGTGTCCTACATAAACTTAAAAACCTATGAACTAGGGAGGGACCTGCAGCTACAACGGTTAATGAATGATGCTAATGAATCATATTTCAAAAGTTGAAAAATAAACTTCGCAGCTGACAGCTGAAGCCAAAGCACTGCCCACATATCGATGCTCTCAATCACCAGCAATTAATACCAATCAAATCAGCAAAGCCGTATTTTCCCTTGACGTTTGGTGCTAAAGTGTGAATGACAAACTTCAGAAGTAAAGCTGAAACGCAGCTGCCTGCTCACATTAACTCGCATGTTAACTACGCGCCTCGTCCAGCGCCACGCAAGTGAGTAATGGCTGCTATTAATAAAGCTAAGCCGTGCGTGACGACACTTTCCCTCTCCTGAGCTGAGATTCAGATGTGCGAGTTTGGATCGCTCTAATCACATTTGTTTAATTAAGCACAGCTAATAAACTCTCCAGAAGACAGGGGGCGTCTCGCTGTGACAGCAGAGCAGCTTCGGTGAGTTGAATGTCAAACATTAAGGACTAGAACTGATGCGGTGTCGTTTTTGCTGTTGACTGCGGGACAGACGCCGACAGGAAGTGTTACTGCAGGAACAGTTTGTGGATTTGGGAAAATCAAAGGTTCAGAAAGTTACCAACAGTTTGTGGATTTGGGAAAATCAAACACAGGTTCAGAAAGTTCCATAACTTTGTTGGTGTCTTTTTGAGTGTGCGTCTGGGTTTTTGTCCGGAAGATTCACGGCACTGACTTGAGTGACAGCAGATGATACTGAAAATAGCGCTGAAAAATATAATGCCTAATCTACGTTAGGGTTTGGGTGAGGAAAAAATGTCTGTAGAGTCCCCAAGTCCCCCACTAGGGGCACTCTTGGAGGTTAGCGGCTCAAGATGGTCTGATCTTCTTCAAGGATTTGTCATTTGTGAAATATAGCACTGACTTTACAGAATGGGAAATTAAAGTATGTAAATAATATATATACAGTGGGGTTTCAAGATACGAGCTACTCGCAAGAATTTTCCAAGTTACGAGCAAGCAACGTTTGCAAGATTTTCGTCGTGATTGGAGGAAACTGCCGCATTGTCTCACTCACTGTCCCTCGTTGTTTTATTGGTTGTTTTATCCATTACAATAATATAAAATGTTTCCTTAATTATTATTTATATTACCAATACATTTGTTTATGTTTTTGTGGTTGACAAAGAACAAGGCTGTCATTGCAGCCGTTCTTGTCAGATTGGCTCTCCATCGCACTGCTTTAACCGTGTATAAACACAGGACAGGCGAGGGGGGCAATCGGGCTTCACCACAGTACAGAATCACCGTCCCTAGTGTGACTGCGCCCCTAGGTTTCGCTCAAAACCTTTAAGTCTTTTATAATCACAGAAAATGATCTGTTTTTAAGGATGACCTTTAACAATTAACAATTTACTTTTCAAATTGATGTCAGTTCCACTCAAACCTTTCAAGCTGAAAAAACAAAAAAACGCCTTGATTTATTCAAACTTCAGAGGCTGCTGCCAAATTTGAAATTCTCTTTCACAATAACGCCAAACGATGTATCTGCCTTTTCAAAGATAAAGTGCCACAGTCGTGAGAGGAATTTGGGATTGAAATCAAAGGACCCAGGTTTGAATCCCGACACGGCTGACAGTCACTGTGTTGTGTGTATATCTAAAACCAAAATAAAGTGTGATTATTGGTTAAAGACAGATGAGAGAAGCTGAATTACTTGTCATTGTGACTAACAGGCTCCAGCTCACACGTACAGTAACTCTGAAGTACCGGGAGTACTCAGATCTGCGGCAGCTGATGGTTCACACCTCACACTAATTGCACTGTTGGGTCGTCTCCTAACAACCGGCTGAGTGACGGCACAGTAACAGCTGGAGGTGACGCTGCCACCAGGGTCGACTTTTATCACTTCTAATGGCTCTTATTGTAACATGTTCTCATCAGAGGCGATCAAACGGGGAGTAGATCTGGAGTTAATAGGTGAGCTGTCACAGAACCACAGGACATGTATGTCGTACATATATGCCAAGTAGCTGGAGTTAGATTGGGCCTAAAAAGGGGAAGTGTGGGATCATTTCCCAAAGATATTCATCCATCAGTCTTCAGTGATTGGTGGAGCAGCAGGTATTGGATGTACTTTGATTCGAGAGTCAAGGTTCATTGACCTCTGCATTTAACCCATCACCAAAGTGACCAGGGCATGTGTGGGGTGGTGCCATGCTCAGAGCACCAGTGGTAACTTGGTGGACTCGAACCAGAAACCCTCCAGACCCAAGTCCACTTCCTTAACCATTTATGACTCGTGGGCCACAGTGGGTCCTAAAGTTTAACAGGGGGCGGGGTCACGAGCAGAGATGTGCACTGGATGGAGTGTTTGTGTGAACTTGGATAAATGATATGTAAAGTTTGGCATGGTGCTTTGGCCCAGAGGCAATGTCTCTGTCATTGGTGTGGAACCCCAGGGTGCTGTGGATTTAAACATTTCTGAGGTTTGAAAAATAAATCAGATACAGTTAAAATCTAGAATTGTTGGTCATGGAATCAACAAACACCTTCACAACTTCAATACATTTCAACTTTATTCAGGGGTAAATTTTAAAAGTACAAATACAAATATCTCTCTCTCTCTATCTGTGTATGTGTAATTTATTTCTCGTCACTATATAGCAAATTCAAACAAAGGGGAACAATTCAAATGTATACTGAAAGTTGAACATGTCATAGAGGCGTTCCTGGGAATGTTCCGAAATTCCCCTGAAATATATTTCAGAGAGGTTTGGAAAAGAAGAAGTCACCGTCCCTGCAGACTCCGTCTCCGTCGGGAATCCACGTTAATCTTTAAAAGGTGAACAATTACGAGAAGCCTGAAATCAGGAAAGCTGCACATCATAACCACAAAACCAGAGCGAGAGAACAGAAATCTGTGGCAGCACATTCCAGATTTAGACGAGACGTCTGTCTTTTAGCTCTTGGGCATCTTTGTGAGACAAATTACTTTGAGCAGTCAATAGACTGTAATTAAAATATACCCACTTGATGGAGAGGCAGCAGTTTCTCTGTGTGTAGTTATGGGTTGGAAAGATTAATTCTGGGGTGGATAACCCTTGTAATTTTCCAAGTGCTGTTTATTGTTTTCAGAGAAAGGAAGAGAAAAAGTGCAGGCAAGTGAAACGTCTCAACTCAAGGTCCCCCCGTTCCCCCCCAAACTCAACAACGCACACTCCTTTAGTGTGTGTTCTGTCTTCCTGCATCAGTAGAGACACATTATCACTTGGCATTAGTACTTTGGAACTCATCCACAAACTCCAGTGGTTGTTCAAACACAAAACTTCAGACTAAAAATACTTCCTGGAGCATGTTGTATTTGACACAGTGAAAAAATGTACTTCAGTTTTACTGATTTACTTCACTCCAAAATAATCCAGTCATATCCCTTTACTTTCTTCATTCAAAGATAATCTGTCACAACAACAGCTCATTCAGACTCTGATACTAACAGAGGAGAGTCTGAAAGAGGTTTGATTTAGAAAATTTGGTATTACTGGTCCACAGTAATGGCTAATACCGGTCAACCCGTCCCTGGTACAAAAAAAGTTTGGGGACAACTGGTTTACCTAATAACGGCACACAATTTACGTGTCGACCACTGCTCCCTGTGGTCAGTTTGGTTACTGCAGTGACTGAAAACAATATTTCAAATGCTATGGTCATAAATGAACACATTTGAACTGCAGCCGTGAACTTCCAACAGCTGATTGGCTGTCGTGTTTAATCACCAAATCAGTCTTAGTCTTACACGTAACAAAATGTCAAAAATGACGATTTAATAAGGATTCATTAATAATCACATTAAACCAGGATAAATGATTGAATTAGATTAAACTAACAGTTGGTCTAATTGGCCTCCCAAGGCCCACATTTGGGTTCCATGATATGGCCCACATTGGTCTGTCCTACTGTGTGAAACAGCAGAGTCAGAAGAAAGATCAGCTTTAGTCTCCGTTCGACCGGGATGTGGCCCACGTTCTGACTGCAGGCGTGGGATTCATTGCCACGTGAAGGTCAGAAAGTGATGAATTTGGCTATTTGGGCCGAAACAAAACGTGAACGTGTTTGTCATGAATACGTAAAATATCTTTAGCAGAGACATTATTTGTCTCTATCATTTCAAATGTGTCACACACTCTGTCAAAAAACAACACACCATCATCTCTCTCCTCTCTTCACTCTCCTCTCCAAACATTGAGGCTCACCTGTCCCCCTTGTGGCCGTAGTGTGAACTGCAGAACATTTTGACTGCAGATGGAGGATCATGTTGGATCGAACTAAACATAGTTTCCGGCTATTTTTGACAGTGATGACGTAATCGACAAAAATAATAATAGTAATAATAAATAATAGAGAAGCAAAAAGAGCAATCTGAATATATTTAGTGCAACACATTAAAGGTTCCCAATGTCAGAACCTGGTTCTTGATGAAGAAAACTTCATTCCTAAGTTAAGTGAACATTAAAATTAAAATATGATTGGTGAATTTTCTAATTAGTTTGATTACTTTTGAGGATTATTTGAAGTTATTGTATTTTTTTTTAAATTCACATTTCCCATGCCCTTGGGGACCAAACCTGACCTTCCTGACCTCACACTTGATTCATGAGACAGTGATGAGAGTGAGAACAGAGATGTTAACCGTGTACTTGTTGAAGGTTTAGTTTCAGGAATGTCTCTGTGTGTCTGTGTGTGTCATCTCCACTTTTGCCTCACATTCATAATGAAAGCATTGAGGAGTCCACAAACCACAACAAATGAACTTTTCTGAGAAGTATTTGTACGTATCAGCTTCCGATAAGTGCCCCTCATTCCATCCGAGTCTTCTCTGACACTCACAACGTTGTGGACATTTTGGAGAAATTTTTCAAACTCCAGACTCCGACTCAAACGACAACAACAACAACAACAACTCTGCTCGTCTTACATTTCAGCTCATTTCCTCTCTCTTTTCTCTTCGCCCCCCCGCCCCCTCCGCCCCTCCTTATTCTTTTCTATTTTCTGTGGGATGTGTAAATGAAGTGTAAATGTAAATGTACCAGTGTGTTCTTTATGTTCAAGAACAGTGAGAGAAACACGCCGGCGTCTGTAAGTAAACAGCTGCTCTACCTGTGGGCTCCTGCTGCACCTGCCGCTGCAGAGCAGTTTAGCCTGTGTGCAGATGCAAACTGTCAATCATCTCACACACATACACATGCACACACACACACACGCCCTCACAGGCGCATACGAACACACGGGGGCACACACGACAAATGGATGATAAATGTGTGCAAATGGGACGCACGCAGACACAAAAATGTGCACGCAAACCACAGTTTAGGCTGCAGCCTGCACAAACTGGCACACATGATGCAGTGTGTAATGGAACACACACAGACACACACAGTACGAGGTGTGTGTGAGTGTGTTCAGAAATGCTCTGCCGGCTGTGTGTAATTACTCCTGCATTGGTTTATTAGAGGGCAGACAGAAAGTTGAACATTTCAGACGAAAGGCGTCGAAAGGCGAAATAACTGAAATTAAAATCTCAGAACTGTTTACTATTCAGTTTGATTTTCTTCCTTCCTTTCTTCGTGCTTTTCTTTTTTTCTTTCCACTCATTTAACATTAACTTGTTTTTTTCCCTTTATTCTTGTCCTCTTTTCTCATCATCATCATCATCATCATCATCATCATCATCATCATCATCATCATCATCATCATCATCATCATCATCATCATCATCATCATCATCATCATCATCATCATCATCATCATCATCATCATCATCATCATCATCATCATTAATTATATCTTCAAAAACGTCCCTCCATTAAAGAGAATAATACATAATAATATAAATATATATCTATGTATAGAGGGAGAAACAACACAACATATCAGTATAAAAACAGTTTAAGTCTGGTGATTTAGATCATTTTGGTGTCCTGAAAAAGTAGTGATGAAGCAAATTTTAAACTAAAGTGTTTTTGTTTTTTTGTTTTTTGTTTTTTTTGTTTTTTTTGTTTTTTTGTGTGCAAAAATCTAATAATTTTTTACCATAAAGATTAAAAACCCCATCAATCAAATGTCAAATCTTGAGCCACCCCTCTACTACGTCACACTATACAAACTACAGCTCAACACATTCAGTTGAATTTATATATTTTTCTTGGTTTAAAATCATATCATTTTCTGTTCCAGACTTACGATCTTAACAGACTGTTCACATGTATATACTGTGCAGTTGGTGTGTTTTTTTCTTTTCTTTTTTTTCTTACACCACAGTGTGTCCACAGTTGCAGCTGGAAATCAATTAAAAATGTTGTGAGGGTGAAAATAAGAAGCTGTTCTGTCTGTTTCTGTCTCCGTCCTCTGATTCTGCTGCAGGCTCTGTTCCTTAAACATGTCCAAGAAATCAAACCGTCCCCTCTCCCTGTCTATTAACAACAGGAGCACATTTGCATTTTTTAATCACGGACTTAAATAAACTCTTATTTATTTTATACATAAAACAGAAAGGGCCTGCAGTGATGGAGAGGAGTCTGCTTGACCGGAGTTTGGAATGGAAAAGACGAGAAGGTTCGTCGTCGCCTAATTAAAAAAAAAAAAAAATATATATATATATATAATTTTTAAATAATATATAGAAGCGCTAAAAGTTGATAAAACATTTAAATAGTTTTAATAAAATTAAAATATATATAATTTCACACTCCTTTTTCACGTGATCATTTAAACACTTTTTTTCCTGCAACTTTTTTCACATCACCGAACCACATGCGTTAAGTAACGGTTCTAACGTTCGGCTCAAACATGAACAGTTTTCTCCAGTATGAGGCTAATGTGACGGTGAAAACAAAACCCATTGAACATATCGGTAGAAATAAAACCGTTCTATACGTTCCTGGTACCATATTAGTCAACCATCTGCCTCAAACGGTTCCAGTGTGAGGCAGACTGTCACTTCTCACTTTCGGCTCAGGTGTGTGTGTGTGTGTGTGTGTGTGTGTGTGTGTGGCAGCAGGAGCTGGCGCTGCGCCCCGCGCTGTTAAACGTGGAGTAAAAAAGTGCGGAATAAACGCGACGCCTCGTGCGCAGAGGGCGCGCGGAGGTGATTCCTCTCCTCCTTCTCCTTCTCCTTCTCTCTTTCTTTACTTTCTCCCAGACATGCAAACATGTGGCGTGTAAATATGAAAATGAATGAGTGTGAGGGCTCTCCTGGCACTGACTCCTCTCTCTCCTCTCTTCTCTCCTCCCCTCTCTCGGGTCTCTGGAGATGGGTGCGCGTCGGAGAGAAGGAGCGGCTGTAAAAAAAAACCAAAGTGGGGCAATGAGACAAGCTGCGCCACAGCTGGCAAATCATCGATTTGAGCATCAGAGAACGGGGAGGGGCGGTTCGTTTACCTGCCAGCCCCCTCTCAAAGCTGCGCTCCTCACATGCCTCCACTCTCTTCTCCTCTCTCCTCTCTCCTCCACTTCACCCACAGCGTCCTTCTCTGCGCTCCTCTCCATCCGCCGTGCGCGCGCCTCTCCTCCTCCTCCAGCAGCAGCAGCGGCAGCGGCAGCAGCGGCAGCGGCATCGGTGTCCTCCAACACAGCGCCTGCAGAGAGCGGCTCTTCTCTGTAGTTTCCTTCATTTTCTACAACAGGACTTTTGACCCCGCGCAGACAAACAGTTTTTTTTTGTTGGTTTGTTTGTTTGTTTTTTTTAGAGCAGTTTTCTCCTTTTTGGATCTCTCGTCGTGGAGCAGCGGGACCAGAGGAGGCTCAACTTTTGATGGAAAACAAGAGGTCGAGCCACTGCTGACTTTACAGGTATGTTCTGTTCGTGTTCGTGTCGAGCTCCAGTCTTTGCTCTCAGGTTTTTATTTCCCAGGAAATAATAATAATAGGTCACGTGAAGAGAAAGAAAACTTTACCGAGCCGAAATCGCACGATGTTCGCGGAGGTTTCCTCGCTGTGTTTTTTTTTTTTCGCCCGAAATAATAAAAAGAAAACTATGAAAAGTCAATTCTAATCGTTTTTTTAGTAAAGTATAAATATGTATTTTTGTTTTAAAATGTGCAGCTTTGACACTAAGGCCACCCGCGTGTGTGTACGAACACGCAGCGCCCTCGGCAGGGCTTCAGTTCATCCATCACCTCTGGTCCATTTAACTTAACTTATTGAGCCCGAGAGGAGGAGGAGGAGGAGGAGGAGGAGAAGTCTTAGTGATGCTCTTAAAAAAAAAAAAAACAAGGAATCGAAGTTGAATTCAGATTTTTTAATTCTATGATTTTGCTAGTTGGCTTTTTTTTTTCCTTGACGTCAGTCCCCCTCAGTTCTCTCTCTCTCTCTCTCTCTCTCTCTCTCTCTCTGTGTGTGTGTGTGTGTGTGTGTTGACAAACTTGAGCTGACTCCTTGTCTATCAGAAACTGCTGCATGCAGTCACAGCTCTACCGCAGCCCAACTGCCCATCTCCCCTTTACTACTGGTTTTTTATTAGGGGCCATTAGAGCCACTTCATTTATTCTCTCTCCATATACTTACTCTTTAATTAGGTGTCAACTTGATTTTGACACTTTTATGAGGCTGCAGCTCAGAGACGTGGAGGTGGAAGAAGCTCGGCAGCTCAGCCCTGGGGGGAGATTTTGATAAACAAAACAAGTAAAAAAAAAAAAAAAAAAGAAAGAAAAAAAAGAGGAGATCAAATGGTTAGTGTCTGGTTTCCTGTGAGGTGAAGATGAAGCACAAAGGTCACAGTGTAGCTTTTGTAGCTTTTTGTCACAGGGCTAAAAAAAAGAAAGGTGTGTGTGTGTGTGTCAGTGTGTGTGTGTCAGTGTGTGTGAGGTGTACAAAGACAGCAGCAGTCATTTGTGAGAACATTTGTCACTTCTACTAAAATGTGTGGCCACCGGTGAGCTGATTTCACTTCAGAAAGTAGCTGCACTCCACACACACACACACTCACACACACACTTACATTTGACCTGCACTCATCAACATTCATTATCAGAGTTGTTATAAATAATCCAGTGTCAGGAAAGAAGAAAAAAACACAGAGTTACTGTAGCAAAATTCATTATCAGAGTTGTTATAAATAATCGTGTCGGGAAAAAAGAAAAAAACAGAGTTACTGTAGCAAAGCTGACTTTTTGAAAATAGTCAAATCAGTATTAAAAAAAAGTCCTCGTTATTGAAAACTTGACGGGGACAAAGAGAAGGATGTGAGACTTCAGGACATTATCATCAAGCCAGTTTGAACTTGAAGTACTAGCAGGTATTGCAGTACGGGAGCGTGATGAAGTGACTTCAGAAATGTCAGCCATTCCTTCGTCAAACAGTTCTGCTGACACTTTCTGCTCTTTTCACCCCAATTTATTTTGAAATTTCGTCCCTTAAGAACAGCCCTTTAGCCCAAAAAATACTGCACTTTAGTTCCGTTTTTTAAGGCAATTTCTTTTTTTAAAAACTGCTTGTTTTCTTTGTATGCCTGTTTTTCTGATTCTCACACTTGTTTTTTTGGTCAGGTTCAGTTTTTCAGGACATTCTTGTTTTGATTTTGTTTTGTTTTTTCTGCAATAGCTTTTCTCTTATTCAGCTGCAACTCTTTTTTTATACTTGTTTCTAAAGAAATCTTTAGACTTTTGCCTTCACACTTTTTTCTATAGAAAATAAACCCTTTTTTACGGTATTTAAAAAAAAAAACATGGTCCTGATTTCATGATATAAAACCATGAGCTCAATCTTGAAATCTCTGTTTATTACCAGTATTACTCTCTAATTGCAGCTGATTTTGATGCATTTTTCACATCTTTTTAGATTCAAACTCCTCTCCTTTCCACGTGTTGCTCCGATCTTATCAACAGCATTTCCTTAAATCAGGAGCTGGAAAAAACAGGGACGTCACTTTTTTTTTGTTCTAGTTTTGCACCTGTCACAGAATGACATTACAGTCCGTGTCACGTCGAAAGCCTTTTTTTTTTTCTTCCACACAACTCAGTTGATAGTCACAGCCCGGAAAACATACAGTACGGTAGAGTTCAACCACTCAGATAACTCCACCTACACCTACGCCGCTCTGCTGTCACTTAACCTCTGAGCCGCTGGTTCGCTGACGTTGTCCTGGTCTGAGCATGTGAATATGTGACAGATGATGTAGTAAAAGTCCCTGCAGACGGACGTGGACCTAACACAAAACAACAACAACAACAACCACGGATTCAACCTGCAATCATTTAGACAAGGATTTAAAAAAAACCATTGTGTACAAGATGATTTGAATGAAGTACAATTCAAGTCAATAATAACAGAGATACAAGATGATTTGAATGAAGTACAATTCAGGTCAATAATAAGGGACGTATCGTGTAACAGAGAGTGATCAACAATTAATGAACTCCTAAATAAGCTGTGATGAGTTTAAATAATAATAATTATAATAATAATATTAATAGGGGCCACCTTTAGGAGACCAGAGGTCAGCCACCAAAGTAAACAGAAAAAAAACAAACAAAAAAAAAACAGATTTTTTTAAATGTGAGAGGAGAGAATTCACCTAGATATGAAAAAATTAACATGTTATTTTTATATTTGCAGATTTCTTTTGATTTTTTTGATTTTTCCTCCTGAAATGTTGGAAACAATACTTTGCATTTTCTTCGAGCCGTGAATTTTATTCCATCCATCTGATAAAAAAAAGTAAAAAATAGTTGTAGTCCTATACTAAAGGTGGTATTAATGACGTACTCTCAATTTATGTAAATACATATGTGTGTGTGCGCGTGTGTGTGGTAACTGTTTTTACACCCCCTCCTCAATTTTCAGTTTTTTACTACTCTTAACCTTCTTCTGTTTTTTTTAAATTTTTTTTATATAAACTCCGTGTGAATTCCGAGAAGTCGTAGCTAAAAACCCACCACACTTTTAACCCTTTGACACCTGTCCTGTGTTTTCACATTCATTTCATGTCCGCATCTGTATTTTTGTTTAATTTTAAACACTAGAAATACCTTTAAACCTACAAATTCATCTCTTAGAATCCATTTTATTATTTTATTTGTTGTTTTGAAAACATATATACAGGCTCATTATGACTCTATATCTGTCTCTTCATCACATCACCAAACAAGCAGGTGGGAAATGTGGACATAGTCTGTTAAAAAGCATGGTGGGAAATGTGGACATAGTCTGTTAAGAAGCATAAAAAGAAAATCCAAAAAAAAAAAAAGATTCTCTAAAAGATGAACAACACTGTGACGTAAACCAATTTCATCTCTCCTATTTTTCTTCAGCCGCCGTATTTACCAGGGTTATTATAAGACATCCTGCTCTGTTACAACCAAAATTTCAGAGTGGTTTCAACAGTGGTTAAATGTTACTGTTGTTACTGAGACCAGACAGACTTTATGTATTAAAAAAATCCAAATAATAATAATGGATCAGCAAACAATCTGAGTCCACTGAGAGCAGCTCTGTAATATATAAAAAAAAATATAAAAAAATGCAACATTTTCACTGAAAAAAATACATACAATTTGGTTCTGTTTGTTGTTAGTTTGTTAATACATTTGAATAAGATGTAATTATATATATATAAAAAAAAACAACCCGATGACAAGACAAAGTCTAGGTTTATACCTGAGGTCAGAGCTCTGAAACAGAAACATCGGCCGCTGGTCCTCCTTAAATCACAAGTCTTCACTGGTGTCATTGTCATCTCCTGTACATCCTGCTGCGGCTGCTGCTGTTGTTGCCGCTGCTGCGGTTGCCAGGTTGTGATGCTCACATCTTATTTACGAGGTCAAGCATGTGGCACCTCACCTCCAGGGAGGAAGGGAAAAAGAATAAGCAGGTCACTGGAACGGCACACATGCACATCACAGGATGTGTTTTTGGCTTTTCTTTATTGTTTTTTTTTTGTTCTTGATGTATGGAACAGGCACATGTGGCTTATCTGGTCAGTGTAAGAACCGCTTTCCAGCCTGCGTCGGGCGTCACTTCTTGTAAGAACGTTTTCAGAGACTTGGCTGAATGGCAGTTGGAAGATGTCGTGGTCTGAGTCTGAAGCCTTACAGTTGAAGCCGCTTTTGTCTCAGGTTGTTGTTGTGAAAGTGTCACGATTTGACAGAGAGCAGAGCCAGGACTTCATCCACTGTCTGATTCTGGAAAAACATATTTTGGACCAGAACTTGGTCTGGATGGTGGATGATAAGAATCAGAGCAGCAGCAGCAGCAGCAGCAGCAGGAGCAGCAGTGTTATCAGCAGAATTAGAGTTGGACAGATTACACACACACACACACACACAGATCCAGCACTAAAGCCCACACATCTGTCACAGCTTATTAGAGTGTAATTTATTCATTTGAATGTGTTCTGTCGTGTTCTTACAATAAACCCTGCTGTGGTTTACAATCTGGGAAAACACCTACAGTGGATCCACCTTTGGTCATGTCTACATAAACACACTTCAACTGCTCTCTGCTGCTGCTGCTGCTGCTGCTGCTGCACCACTCTTCTTTTGTTT